TCCCAAAATGAGCCAGGTAGGAAGTGACCTCCTTATGTCTCTAGCTGACAAGTTTTCAGCCCGGATGAAGAGAGGAAGTGCACAGCTCTTCCAGTATGCTTCTGTCTTCACCTGCCTATTTCAGTAGGAATTATAAACAGCATCAGACTCTACAGTGGCTCAGTTATCAGCAAGCTTCTGCTGGAGGACTAGTTTGAGATTTCATGTACAAACCAATTTCATTTGTTTTAGAACTTGAGGCTTTTACCTGTTTCTGCCTCCAGGATCCTTTTTCCTCAGAAGAACTCTGACCTAAGTTTCCCTTCTATGTCAGACAAGGTTCTTTGGGTAAATCTGATACCTTGTCTGCCTTTGTCCTTAGACCTACATGGCTACAACCTACACCCCTCTATAGCTGATGTCATCTTGGTGTCAAGCCCCTGGTCTCTCTATCTGAGATTTCAGTTATTTATAGAAAGATAAAGGCCTCTTGTTAACTTGCAGCTCCTTATTTTATAAGGTTCTGTTTTTCCTTACTTCCATACCACCCATAAAAGCTTGACAAGCATATATTTCTCCATTTTATTTTTTTTCCCAGTCCAGCCAATCAGATTCTCTCCTTTCCCTTCAAATACGCGTCTGTTGCCATTTTATGAGCTAGTGAAACTCCTAGCCCTGCTTTCAGCTCTATCTGTTCTCCACAAACTTAGCTTCTGCTCCCAGAGCAAATAAAAGTCATATCTCAGATTGGAGTCTTCTGCATCTCAAAAACATAAGATGCTATTTAAAATGCTTGGGAGTGGTGCTGATGCTCTAAGAGTAGGAACTAACTACAGAAAAGCAGAGAGTAGTTCCACACATCACTGGAAATTTGACAGGTTTCACATCCTAATCTGGTTTCATTTTCTGTCATTTAAAGGAACAGTTTATCGAGTTATGCAAGACCCTTTATAACATGTTCAGTGAGGATCCAGTGGAACAAGAGCTGTACCATGCCATTGCTACTGTAGCCAGCCTTCTCCTTCGAATTGGGGAAGTCGGGAAAAAATTCTCCAACCGCCCCATGAAGAAAGCTGATGACTGCAAAGCAAATAATACCCAGGATCCTGTTAGTGAAGAGGAGTCACCAACATCAGAACACAGTCAGAATTCAGCAGTAGAACGGCAAGTCCAAGTAGACCCTGAAGATATTGCTGCTGGAGATGCACAAGCGGGAAAAACCCAGCAGGAAAACCAAACTCTGGGGGACGGGGGAGGGGAGGGAATAGGATCTCCTTTACAGCTGCTTTCAGATGATGAAGCCAAAGATGACATGTCCATGTCTTCCTACTCCATGGTCAGCACAGGCTCCCTACAGTGTGAAGATATTGCAGATGACACTGTCCTGGTTGGCTGTGAAGCCATGAGTTCAGCTGCAAAGTATGGTAGCACTGTTGACACTGACTGGTCTATCTCCTTTGAGCAGGTCTTGGCTTCCATGCTGACGGAGACAGCCCTGGTAAACTATTTTGAGAAAAAGGTTGATGTTCTACAGAAGATAAAGGACCAGAAGAAGGTAGAGAGGCAATTCAGTTCATCCAGTGACTACGAACTCTCCTCCGTGTCAGGCTGAACTCAAGAAAAACAGTAACCTCTTGGGAGATAAGGCAGGAAGATGATGGCACCTAGCAGATGGCAGGAGATTTTTTTTTTCTTTATTATTACTGAGACCAATAACTTCACAACTGCAGTAGAGTCAGCTGAATACGGGGCTCTTTCATGGTGGCAATTTAATGTAGACAGTTTTCCTGGATAACCTAGTGTGTGGGATTACATTACATTCTCAAGAGCATGAAAGCCTTTAGAACCTAATAGCCCCCAAGGCCTAGACTTACCACCATAAATGATGCATGTCTATCTTTTGCTATCTTTTTTTTAATGAAGTTTTATTTCAGATGCAGCCACTCAATGCCCTGCCCTCATTGTTGTAGGTTCCTGGGTAACATTGCACAGCAGATGCAGCCTGGCTTGAAACTGTACATCTTTGGGTGCTACCCTGTGAGCTAATGCAGTGTGTCTAAGTGCTGTATGTCCTTGGCCTATAACATAGTTTTGCTAAGTTCTTAGATGCTGTGTTGTAACTGCAGCAAACTTAAGGTTGTGTCCTGTTGTCCCTGGTACTCAGATGTACATTTCTCAGATGTGGGGGTTCCTGCTGAATGTGACTTGCCATTCCAGGAGTGTGTAGGGGAGATCTCACCATTTTACAAGACTGTTTGATGCAGATGCTGTGTTCTAATCTCTTTTTAACTCTGATGCAAGGAATTATTGGTGTGTGTGAATTTTGTCCTTGAAGCCACAAGCTTGTTGACATTGTGCCAGTAATACTAAGACTGTAACGGACTGGGTCAGCCTAGGGGGTTAGATGATGAATGAAATGAGGCACCTCCTGACCATGAAATCAAGTGAGTGGAGAGCAGTATTTGCAAGGTGGCGGTACACAGATCTGTTTTGCTCTGTTGCTTTCAGCATTAATGATTGTGCTTGAGCTGTCCCCACTTCCTGTCAGCCCAGCCATTAGCCATTAGAGGAAAAGCATCTATATTCTGATTTACTGCTGGTATTTCATTTAGCTTGCTAATGACAGGTACAATAATTACAGCTACCCCTAGTAAATTTCTGATGTATCAGTGTGTGTACCAAGCTCCCAGACCCTTATCAAGTCCATTATCACAGAACAAGTATCTCACGCAGGAGAAACCAACTGATGGTATCTCACTGTGAGCAGGAGTATGGCTGATCTAACTTCTAAGGGGCAGAAGATTTAAGGAACGAGGTGTTAGCTGTAGCTGCTCCTTGTGTCCTGTGAAGTACACTACTTTCCAGGAGCCTGAGCTGGTTTGGTGTACAAAGGAGTTCAAAGGGTCATTTACATCCTCAGCAAAGCAGGAGCCAGGAGGGGCAGAGCAACACATTGCTCTTGTGGCCCCAGTACTAGAAACCAGAGCAGACTAGCTCAGCTACTAATTCAAAAGATTGTCACTGAAGAGACTGATTTCACCTCTGCAAATCAATGGTGGCCTGGAGGAAAGTAGGGGCTCCATTTGGGAATGGTGGCCTCTCTGTGGGATGGCATATCCTCCCAGGAAGCACTGTTATTTCCAGTCATCCAGATACGTTCATCTCATTACACAAGCACCTGTGCGTCAGGTATATGCGCCTCACTAACAGAGGACAAGAACGTTGGCAGGCAGCGCTGAAGGCGAGCGACATTGGTACTTCTGACTAGCATTGTTCAGTATGGGCTGGAGCCATCTGATGGATGTTTCTGTTGAACATGCTACGCAGTGTGATAGTGTTATTTTTTTGTGGAATTCTCTGTATGTGTTCACAGCCAGAACATGCTTCTTAATTCTCTGCCTCCTGGGTCACATACTTTTTGGAGAGCAGCCATTAGTAAAATTGCTTTTACTACTTATTCAATAATTTATTGTAACTTTTTTAAAGTCCCAGTACTGTGTGTGATTTTACACTGTCTGTGTCCGATCTCTCGTGTATTCAATAAACAAACTGGAACCGCATGCACAGGCCTAGATAGGCTCTTGCTTTGCTACATTTATCCATGGGGGGCAGCATGCAACAGTGCTGCCAGGTGTACAATAGTTTCAACCCTTGTACAATGTATGATCAATAATAGTAGTAAAGGTGTTCAAAACATGCAATAATTTTTGAGGCAGCTAATTGATGTAGCATATGCAAAACCTAAGTTCTCAGAGTCTCAACCAACATTTGGGTTTGCTGTGAGTACTTTCTTATGACAGCTTGTCTCAGACTTAATGCTTCAACTCTGACCCAATTCTCAGTCATTCACTGGTGAGTTAGAGCGCAATATAACCTAAATAAGGTTATTTATTTACATAACTATTCAGTGTATGATGGGTTTTTCAGCAAATATGGTAATTTTGAGCTTCCAGTATGATAATTTTGTATTTAACACCTGGCAAGGCTGGCATGCAATTTCCTTCCAACTAGTCTGTGTCCCAGATGCATCTCTAGGGCAGGAAATCACTTGCAAGCTGGGGAGAGGATTGCTTCTCTCCCTCCCAGCCCCTTCGATGTGATTTCTGCCTCCCTCATTCCTCCAGAACCGGGCGCTGAGGTTCTTGCTGCACTTCTCCTTGCACCTTTTCTGTTCCATGCTTCCCATCTAGCCCTGCCAGGCCCCGTGACCTCCTGGTAAACCTCATCCTGGCTCTGGCCAAGCTGACCACCCACTCCTCCAGGAAGGAGGTTCTGGGTGGCAGGGAGCAACCCAGGCAAGTCCACTTATGCCTCTGGGCGGGGTTTCACTAGTCAGCATCCATAGGCTCTCTCCGTTTACTCAGGGGCTGAGTGCCAGCTGGCACCCTCTGCTCTGTGTCCCCTTCCAGCTTCCTGGGTATGAACCTGTGACCTTGCCCCCTTGCCAGCTTTCTTGGGATTTATCCCTAGAAATCTGTTCTGTCCTCAGTGGCCTCCCTTCTTACAGGAGGTGCAGAGCCACGTTTCTCAACCCTTGGGTTGTGACCTGAAAGTGGGTGGCAAGAATATTTCAAAGGGGTGCAAGCTGCAGCACGGCAGAGGGGCGGCGGGAAGCTGGCCTGCCCCTTCCAGTGGGGAAACAGGGGCCAGGCTGGCACCCATGCTTGTGGGGTCAGGGCAAGGGGCTGCAGGGCAGGAGTGAGGGACACCAGCATAGCCTGGGCCAAGGGGCCAGGGGCATGTGTGTCTTTGCAAATGGGTCCCAGTAGGAAAGGCTGAGGACCGCTGGCTTCGAGCTTTCCTGCGTTTCCCCAGTGGTGTAGGAGGCCTGTCCCCCTCCAGCGTAGGTCCTGCCCTCCTTGGCTCTGAACTACGGCCACGCTGGGGCGCTGGAGGCAGCCCCACCCCTGTCCCGCGGGCTGCGCGCCCTCCGCCAGGGGGCGGGGAGCCCCCTATGACACCCGTGGTGCACCGCGCGACGCCTCCTGTCCCCGGAAGGGAGCGCAGCACGTGACCGGAAGGGGCAGTTGCCAGGGCCGGGAGGCGCGGCGGGCCCTAGCGACAGGCATGGCGGAGCGCTTCCAGGTGCTGCGGTGCTGCTCGTGCCGCGCCTTCCAGGTCCAGCAGGTGCGTGCGGGACGCCGCGGGGGCCGGAGCCGGGGGTGGAGCCGGAGCCGGGGACTCACCCGTGTGCTCCCCTCAGGTGAAGCGGAGCCGGTGCTGGAGCTGCGCCGTGTGCGGCGAGCGGCAGGCGCTGCTGCGGGTGAGTGCGGCCGGGCCGGGGCTGGGGACGAGGCCGCGACCGGGGTCTGCCTCTCCCCGGCGGCCCCGCATCCTCCGCTCCCCGCTCTCCCCCGCAGGACTACGGCCGGGGCTGCGCCGCCGACTGCCGGCGCCACGTCCAAAAGCTGAACCGACTGCGGGGGGAGGCAGAGCAGGCGGCAAGAGCCGCCGCGCGGTGAGTAGGGAGCCGGGCATGGAGAGGTGTTGTGAGGACCTTCTCGGGCCCTCCAGGGGCATTTGGGGCTCCAGGGTGTGGGGGGTCCTTGGTTCTCCAGGAGCATTTGGGAGTCCCCCCAAAATGGCTCTCCAAACCCCAATTTCTGCGTGGCGGGTCGAAGCTGAGCTACACTCCCTTCCGCCGCAGGGCTGGCCTGGACCATGCCCCCCCACCTGCTTCTGCACTTAAGCTGGGCTAACCCTCACAGCGCTGGATCAAGCTCCTTTTCCCCGTGAGGCTGTTTGGGCCGGCCGGTCCTTCTGCCCGGCGGATTGTGCCTCCTGTGCTCTCCCAGGCTGGCTGGATCTGGCCCATGGATGAACTGGGTACTGCCAATCTGTGGCAGTGATGCTATAAATCTAGCCCATTAGGCAAACACTGGATGTGCAAAAATATGGAAGGTCTTTTTAGGAAAGCAACCTCGCAGCCTGCACTAGTGTTTCGTAGTGAGAGACCCGTCCCAGTACTCTCAGGCCAGAAGCTGTGCAAGTGCCCCTCTGGCTCCCAAGTGCAAGTGCTGGAAATTGTTTTCCCCCCCATTTGGGACTCAGGTGGGCAGCCCCACCCCACCTCCCTCCTGTCTCGAGGCTTGTTTAGAACAGCATTTGGGGGGATGGCTTCTCTGCTGGAAAGACTGATGAACACTGCCTGTTTGCTTCCCTGCAAAATCCGCTTTGCAGGGCACCTGACCACAAACTGTCTGTCTGCAGTGCTGCTTTTCTGTTGGAGCTCGCTTGTCGAAGTCCATCATCTACCTAAACTGTGCGAAATAGATGAAGGGCTTCAACATTGGATTTCTGTTGTGTGGCAAGGAAACTTTATGAAATAGCATTGCTGTTGCTGTTCTCAGTGCGCTACAAGGATTGTTTGTTTCTTCCTAGCTGATGTAGAGGGTTTAACCAGGCTGCCCTGAAAGGTGCTCTCCCATGATCAATTAAAAGTTAACAAATTTGTATTGACCTCTCAATCAAGCTTCCTACTCTGGTTGTGTGAGAGGAAGGGAGGGCCTTCCCCTAACTATTCAGGCCCCTTCCAAACCATTTGAAGATGCATCTTGTCCATTTCTACTAGCAGAGCTTACTGTTGGCATCTGCTTTCTTGTGGGCTTGTGTTCATGTGTGCTTCTCACCCTGCATCTGTCCCTTGTGCCTACAGTTAGGTGAGTGGAGGAACGTTTGAGACGCACGTGAGCGCTCTGGAAAACCCAGATTAAACCTTTCCTTTTAGGTGCATAGAAGAATCAGTAGATGACAAAAAATACACAGCAGTTGAGCCTGAAGGCAGTTTGGGCTGGCAGGTAAGAGACAATGCAACAACAATGGTATTTGAAATTAATAGAGAAAGCTACCACTGAGCATGAGTAGGGAGGCTCCAGCATGTTGGAGGAAAGGGGGACAGTACATGGGTACTTTCTGCTCCATGTTGATGATGATAACCTAATACAGCTCAGTTTAGGGCCTTGAGGTACTGAGCACTCTCAATTCATGCTGAAGGCAGTGCAAGTTTAGGCTCTGAGTATTTCTTGGGGACTCAACACAGGAAAGTCTTACTGTTGCTGTCCTGACTCATTCTACAATGCCTCAGGAGCAGGAGGTGGAGGTCAGACCCTTTGTCAGCCGCTGGAATAAATATCTGGATAAGGGCAGTGAAGATGTGGAGGAAGAGGAGGAGTTGCATTCAAACAGACAGCAGCTCTGTTCCCACCAGAACTGTGTGCAAGAACAAAGGTGCAGAAATAACTTCTTCCTTAATCCTTACTTTGTCCTGATCGATGGGGTTCTGTTTGGGTGGCCTTGGCACTAGGAAGAGTTTCTGGTGAGGTCACTGAACTCAGTGGAGGCTGCAGTAGCTGATCCATACCAGCCTGGGTGAGAACCCACCTACTAGTAGATCTGCTCTTCTAAAAATACCTGCTGGTTTATTTAGGTTGAGCTTCCTACCTGCATTAATCCAACCCCTCTGTGAACTGCTCCCTCCCCGCCAGGAAACGCAGTAGCAGCTTCCACAGCAGTGATGCGCAGGAGCACTGCGAGGAAAACAGAGCTTGTGGGCTCACCTACCAGGCCAAGAAAGTCAAAGCCTTTGAGGTATCCAGTTGTGGCAAATGTTTCCTTACCTGTAAATGATTTTATTTTTGTTTGCTTGTACCTGTGTTTGTACAAAGGTTGATCAGACAACTAAAATATCAAGTGTTATGCCTTATTTGCATAATTAAGATTGTATGTAGCTTAACGTGGTCTCTCTTCTGTATTTAATAGTGCAACTATGTGAAACAGCATTTAAGTATGATCAGCCTCTTTAGCAAAAGATTTTGTCTCTGGAAATCATAAGGGCAGGGGGAGAGAAGAAAAGAAAATGTATTATTTTTATTATCCCTGCTTCCTGGGATAGCAGACCTAGCCAGTGCAGTTGTGTGTCCTGGCTGCTGCCTTCGTTCATGTGTAGGAATAATGACTGGGCCAGCCTCACTTCTGCCTTGAGCGGAGTGACATAGATTAGCAGAGACAGGTTTCAACAACAGGATTACAACTTTGCATGCCTGTTTGTTGTCAGCTTTGTGTGCAGCAGCATCACTTAGTTTGGCTGTGCAAGCTGATGCCGTAGCCCACCTGAATTTCTGCTTACAGAGCAGGAAAACTTCAGTAGCGGTGACTGAACAAGATCATGAAGATGTCCTGTGTGATGGTATTGTGGTTCCTGCTCCCAATCGGCCTTTAGTATCTGAGGAGGCAAGTTCCAGGGTCAGGTCAAGTCATGTCACTGCTTCTAAGTGGAAAACATTTCTCTCATCCACCAGTGACTACATTGAAGATAAAGATAAAACAACCCTTACAGCCCATAAGTTAGAGCCACTCAAAGCCACTGCAGCAGACTTCCCCACCTCTGGTGGATATGCACAATGGGAAGAAGAGTCTCTGACTCCAGATGCAGTTGCCCAAATCAAAAACAGTTTCAACAATAATAAATGCACTGCTCAGCAACATGCTTCAAAGCCACACAGCACTGCAGCAACCAAGCATGTGAAAACTGCCTTTAATGTCAGCAATGAAGCAGCTGGAGATATGACCTGTGGAAACTGTGAGGATCACCTGATGGGGGCAGGATCTGCTGTTGCAGAGAGAAAT